TTACTTATTACTTACGGGTGGGCGCTCTCTGGCAATGGTTATGGAATGACTGAGACGTCTGCCATGATCTCTTCTACCAGAATCTCCATCAACTATAATATTGGCTCTGTTGGCAGAGTGGTACCCTACGTGCAGGTCAAGGTAATCACCTCAGTCCACATTTTATAAAATGTATATATACGCAAAACAACCACTGGTACGACTTTGATGTCGTAACTTAAATAAAATGGTCCTGGTTCCTAAATGGCTGCTCAGTCTGCTGTCTAGGGGCATTTAAATTAGTGAAAACCACACCAACTCTAGTCCAGCATGTACTCATACAAATTATAAAGCATGAGTGCAAATAATTAATGTTGTATAAGGAAGGACACAAAAACTCGCCTATGCAAAAATATATATAATATAATAATAAGTAACTTATATACAACTTGCAAACTATTCCAAAAATCCACCACACTCCAGTTCACATTAGCTCACTAGCACACTGCTACTAGTGACAATTTTATATACATTTATAAACAGGGAGGCTCCATGACATGCACACCCCCGTCTTCACTTCTGCCTGGTAAACTAATTACCAGAAGGCAAAACATCATACAGTACTCTCGCATAAACATGCCTTTGCATACTAGGGCCTTAAAATAAACATGAGAGCACTTAAACACAAACGCCTATAGTATACACTAAAAAAAAATTACCAAAATTACCTACTCAAACTACCGTCCAAACATGATGACTTCACTCTGTCACACGTCAAACTCGTCTCGTACTGAACTAAGCACACCCCATCTGCTCCTGTCCTGGTCACTCTGCCTGTGACAGGAATAAAACGCGTCCATTTTCAGGGAATAGTACACGTCCGCTTTCAGTTCAATCCCGGTGCTATGGAGCATTATTTTATTAAATATTTTTCTGTAGTACACTGCATAATAACCACAGAGGGAGTTGAATGATAGCTCTAGGCCTTTCGTGTTTCAATCACCACATCAGTAGCTTGCAATGTTGTACAAATAGAGCAGGAAACAAAGGAAGGTCAGCTCATGTGAATGGCTCTCCCAGGTTAACGGGACTAGGCGTCAAGAAGGGTGCTGAGTGCCAGAGAAAGCAGACAGTATATTACAGAATATGAACATGAAGTATACATAAACCCTATCAGCACTGAATATTTATTAATAACCTAGCGAGTACAACATTAGTGACATGTTAATTTTCACCAACATGCCATCAGAGGGCATAATGTTTCATTATAAAAGACTTTAATACTCGAATCCAAAAAGTGTCTGGCACTTATCAGAAAGAATTTTCATTTCGTTGTATAAAAGTAAATAGTTCTAGAACAGATAGCACTACAGACCATTACCCAACCTTCCTCCTGACAAACATTAGTAAACCACCACTTGAATACAACAAAGTCTCATTTAGACTCCATGACGAGGCCTCAGTAAGGAAGTTCACAGCTGACCTAGAGACTGTTGATTGGCCTACAGAATTCTCCAAGGCCAATGGTATTGATGACTGGACAGACATTTTTCTTAACAAAATACTTAGACTATACAACAAACATTGTCCTATAAAAACAAAACAGATCACAAACAAACGGCTTGGTTGCCCATGGCTAACCAGCACCATTCTGAATCCATTGACAAGAAACACCAATATGAAAAGCAATATAGACAGGGCTTAATACACAAAGATACCTTAAACACTATTCATCAGCTCTCCCAAAGTGATAAAAAAAGCCAAACAACTAACTACTCCAGTAGATTCACAGACACTAGAGGGATATAAAAAAGACCTGAAAAACACTCTCTCAGATTCTAGGACCCACAAACTGAGAAAAACCAGAATATTGTCCTAACTAAACCTAATGAAACACCACTACATCCTCCTGACACAGCTAACAAGATAAACGACTTCTTCTCAAACATAGGTCTAATCTGCCAGTAAAATCCCACATACCAATGCCCATGCAGGGGACTACCTAGATGGAAATTTCCCTAATTCCTTCTATCTTGCACAACTGAGCCCACGGAAGTCATTGAGATCATAAAGTCACTTAAAAATAACTCGGGGAATCTGTCTCATGTCCCACCATTACTGTACAAGCGAGCGGCCCATGTCCTTTCCATGCTATTTCATTACTTTTTAACAAGTCAATAGAGACTAGCACCTTCCCGAAACTACTCAAGATGGCAAGGGTTACACCAATACATAAAGGTGGTGACCCTACAGACTTAAACAACTATAGGCCAATATCTAACTTACCATTGCTATCCAAAATCTTTGAGAAACTCGTGCAGGAGACTGTATTCATTTATAAGGCTCAAAACATACTCAACCCCTGCCAATTTGGATTCAGGAAAAATAAAAGCACTAATGATGCAATCATAAAAATGCTAGATCTGCTTTACACAGCATTGGAAAATAAGGAATATCCACTAGGAATTTTTATTGACCTAAGAAAAGCTTTTGACACAGTAGACCACGACATCCTACTCCACAAACTTGATCACTACGGTATAAGAGGCCATGCGCTTGCTTATTTCAAATCTTACATTACTAATAGGTATCAGTACGTCACCATTAAAGACAGCATCAGCAACACGGCCACTTGATACTGGAGTTCGCAGGAAGTGTCCTTGTCCCCTGCTCTTCTCATATACATCAATGACCTTCCAAACGTATCCCAACCACCTGAAACCCCTTCTCTTTGCTGATGACACGACTTATGTCATCTCTCACCTAATCTTGCCACCCTCAACACCATTGTGAATGAGGAGCTGATTAAAATATCGACTTGATGAGCCAATAAACTTATCGCTTAACACTGACAAAACCTACTATATTATGTTTGGTAGCAGAGCAGGAGATGCACAAATTAACATTAAGATTGACAACACTCTAATTACCAGAAATAATGGGGGAAAATTCCTGGGCTTATACCTTGACAACACCTGAATTTCAGCACCCATATCCAGCATATAGCCAAAAAAGTATCCAAAACGGTTGGGATCCTCTCCAAGATACGATACTACGTGCCGCAAAATGCCCTTCTCACACTATACCACTCACTTATTTATCCATACCTCACCTATGCTATTTGTGCTTGGGGATCAACTGCAGCAACACACCTAAAGCCAATAATAACCCAACAAAAAGCTGCAGTAAGAATAATCACTAAATCCCATCCCTGGCAACACACCCCCCCACTCTTCATAGATCTAAACTTACTCCCAGTTCAGTACATCCTACTTACTACTGTGCAATCTACATCTACAGGGCCTTAAACTCTAATATCAACCTTGACCTAAAACGCTTTCTTGATAGTTGTGACAGAACCCACAGGCATAACACCAACACAAACATCTCTACGACATTCCCCGTGTCCGACTAAACCTTTACAAAAATTCAATGTATGTCAAAGGCCCTAAAATTGGAATACCCTACCTGAGAACTCTAGAACTGCAGACACATTCATCACCTTCAAAACTACCATTAGAAAACATCTTATCTCCCTGATACACACCCGTCAACTAACTACACGAATACCACCTGGTGGTTCACATTTACACTCACTCACTCATTTGACCATAAACAGAAATATTAATCTCAGTCTTAAAATAATTTGAATCCTGTGATACTCCAATACTGAAACTATGTACTGTGCCAAAACAAAAGCATTCACATTGCTAAACTCACAAACTAGTATTTAGTCACTTAGCCATAATACCAACTTACCTCATAATTTGTAATATTTTACAATTAAGAATAAAACTAAGTCTGCCCGAAATGCCTAGCCATGCTAAGCGTTCTAGTGGTACACTCTGTAATCACAATTTTACTACATGTAAACCAAACAATAACCAAATTTCTGTAAACTCAGCATTGTAATCCTTATAGAGAATAAACTTTGAATTTGAATTTGAAAAAAGAGGAAAACGGTCCTAAATATTCAGAGGTTGATCCACCTAACTCTGACGTAAATGCTGGTTTAACCACAAGAATAGGCAGGAGCAGCAGAAGCTGAGCAACTTCCCCAATTCGTCAGTGTAAAACTGTATTTAAAACACTCCAACGAGTTCAGATAGGAATCCAGCTTCAGATTACATACAAAGCTTCAGTTATAAAGAAGTCGAGTTTGAATATACCAAAACTATTATTATACTACGAATGTTTATCGTGTTTTATAATTGCTGATTCTAATGTATTCCTTTCCAACCAAGAGAAGCAGGAACCACGACTCCAGCTTTTGACTAATTTGCATTTATTACTAGCCCTGTTGTGAGAGAAAATTGTATTTCATTCTGAACAGTTCATATCAAATATTGGTATTGTATTAACCTAATATCTAGAGGTTTCCCAGTCTATTAAAAAAATTGGGGTATATATCATGGTAGAATTACCGACAATGTGTAAAGTAAAAGGACACAAGTGCAACTAATGTGACATGAGAAGCCGTTACAAACAATACGTATGTATAATGTTCGCCAGGACCAGGGTCCTGGCACGGGTCTTAATCTTGAGATGACCCGTCTCTGGCTCCTGAAGGAGAATTGATTCTTCACTGTTGCAGCATATAAGCGTTTGGAATTTCACTATTCTTTCAAGCACAGTTCTGGACAGTTCAGCTAGTGTGCCTCATAAGCGACTGAAGTTACTCCATCTCAGCTGTTTCCTGAGCTGGGGACTGGGCTCTGTCCTCTCTGATAATCTGCGGATTCATGGCATCCACTGCTTCCTGCTCTGTCAGTAAGCATACCCTCAGGAGTGTGCTGACCATCTGCCGGAACATGCTCTGTTGTTCCGTGGAGGTGATTGTGTTGCAGATAATATCCGTGAATGCCTTGATGAGTGTTAAGAGATCCCTCTGTTGAGGGCCTGCGTTGTCGGTGGGTTCGAAGCAGTGGACATTATCTGGGCTGTCGTAATCTGTGGGGACTGCTGAGGGTTGTATTTCTTCACTGTGCACACCGTGGGCTGTTGCTGTATGCCAGGTTGTGTACCCGGCATCTGCTGGTGAGGTGCAGCCACAGCCTGCATAGTGGTTGTGCCTGGCAAGGAGGCCGGTGGGGGCTCGTGTAGTGCCGTCTGCTGATTGCGTTGCCCAGATGTTTCCTGTTGGCGCCGCTTGTTCCTCATGTTTTTGTTTCTTCGTTGCGGTAGTGGGGGAGGATGCTCCTGTTCATGACGCCTGGTTGAGTTTTCAAGGGTCGGAAATTCATGGGCACTGAGTTGGGTTGACTGATGAGAGTTCTGCAGTATGGCAGGATTCTCTGCACCCATCGTCTGCTGAGGGTGATGCTCCGCCGTAGCCTGCTGTCTCGTCGTTGGTGTCTTCCAGGCCTCACGAATTCTAGTGAGCCTCTGAGGGCATCGAGGGTTCCAGGCATGGTGTTTCTGCCTGCAATTCGGGCATCGTGGAGTGGGTGGCGATGCATTCTTCAGCTTGGTGATACATTCCTCGGTAGGGTGGGGCTGGCTGCAGACACCGCAGATTACTCTGTTCGGACAGAGTGCACCCAGGTGTCCGTAACGCTGGCACTTAAAACAGCGAACTGGTTCTGCCGTGAAGGTCCTAACATCGTACCTGCCCCAAGAACCAAGGTCCAGCTGGGATGGCAACGGTCCTACATGCTGAATGAGGACCTGCCGGGTTGGTGCATTGCCTGCTGATTTTGCCTTGAGACGCTGAGCTGACACGACACTTGGGTGAGCTGCTACTGCCTCGATGGGCATCATCAGCGGGTATCGCATCACTACACCCTTGGTGACCTGCCGAGAATCCAGTTCCTCCAGGGTGAAGGAGCGGTCTGTCTCCATGACTTTCTTCAAGGTGATAAGATAAGATAAGATTTCGTTCGGATTTTTAATCCCCGGAGGGTTAGCCACCCAGGATAACCCAAGAAAGTCAGTGCGTCATCGAGGACTGTCTAACTGTTTCCATTGGGGTCCTATACTTGTCCCCCAGGTCAGCGGGATGCACACCATCGACTAACCCCGGTTGTAGCCTATTTTGCTAGAGTGAACACGACAACGGTGTAAGAACGTGCTCGGACATAGGGTTGTCACACCCTGCCTGCCGGAATCGAACCCGGTCCTCCAGGTGTGAAGCGGAGCTTAGCCACCAGGCTACCGGCCATTTCCCTGTTGATAGGAGTCAGTATTGGTTCTCCCCTCAGGTTGAACCATATCTTGAACCTCAGTTTGTGCCGTGTTTCCAGGTGTGTAACCACGCCATAGTGGGTTTTGTGTTCCCCATAAGCCTTTACCTTGAATCTGGAAGGTGATTTGAGCTGGTTTACCTGCTCCTTGGAGGGACGGCGTGTCTTACTGTTCACATTGATCCATCCTTCCGTATTCTCTGGCTGCATGGTTAGGCTTGTCAGAACTGGAGACTTTTCCTCTGATGACACGGAGTGGTCTCGCAACTTCTTCGCTAGGATTGCGCCCCACATTTCTAAATCCGAGTCGTCCATTTCTAAATCCGAGTCATCTGTCGTGTCCCTGGAACATCGTGACCTCTTCCTTTCGGCAGAAGCCATGTGTCTGTCCACGTGGTGCTGGACTGTGTAATACCCAAACAATACGTGGACACAGAGGGTATATATAGGCTTAGAGTGAGGTGTAATACTAGTGGTAGTAGTTGTAGTAGTAGTGATATAAGTTGTAGTAGTAGTAGTAGTGATACAATATGGTAGAACAATTAACTTGCACATGAGTAAAAGGATATAAAAGCTATTACTTGGGTAGCATAAAAATAATAGGTTAGGCAAATATTTCTATAGTAGGTTGAATTAGAGAAGGCCTGTTTCAGTGTTCCTCCTCTGTAATGTGCTTGTGTAGCATTAGCAGGAGAGACTATGTGATGGCAGGGTTTACTGTTTTCAGGAAGATTCTTGCTAAGACTTCAGAGATGGTGAAGCTGCCTTAGTTTTGTTTAATTGTATTAGAAACAGCGATTAGTGAAGATTCAAGGCACTTGGGTAACAAGTAATAGCAAAGCTATTACTTGTTACCCAATTATTAGCTTTTATATCCTTTTACTCATGTACGAGTTAATTGCTCTACCCTATTGTATTACTACTACAACTACAACTTATGTCACTTCTACTACTACTACCACTAGTATTGCACCTCACTCTGAGCCTATATATATCCTCTGTGTCCATGTACTGTTTGTAACGGCTTGACAAAGCTCCTGGAGAGCGAAACGTTGCCACAATAAAATGTCACTTTAGTTGCACTTGTGTCCTTTTACTTTACATATTGTCGGTAATTCTACCAACATTATTACGATTTAAATATACTTATAACCCAGCCGGAGTTGGGCAGTAGTGGCATCCAAGAGTCTGATTATTTTGTTGGACGCACCATAGACATGTGTCTCCTCCTGCATGATAGAATGATGATAGATGGACTCACTGGTGTCGGTCTCCCTCAGTCTCAAGTCAATGAAATTAATTTGAAAATCTTATCTTATTATTGCTCTCAAACTGCTAACTGACAGCCCAAGTTTGTAATATACCCCCTCTTTGAAGGTATATATATGCCTTTCCCAATTCATTAGAGAATGATTTGAATTTTTTGTGTCTGTGTATGCCGTAGTTTATCATTTTTATTAAAGACATTGGGATATTGGTGTCCATGTGATAATTTGTAAATACCACATCTGATTAGCTTCAAACTTTCAGTATTAATATTTAACTACATTAGAAACTTATGCCGCACTCTACGTTATTCCTTTAGCCTGCATTGACGTGCAGAGGACTGGTATTATACAATGCAAGGATATCTTTCTCGAATCGCATAGCAACCGAAATATAGATAACACTGGAATTTCAGAACATGTCATGGGTAGTGCGGCCATTCCAAATTATTTCATATACAAAACTGACTGTTTTTATATATAAAAGTGTTTGAAGACCATGAAAACTTTGTCACAACTTCGACACAATATAAAAAGTAAAGGTTTTATTTTTTCAGAGTTCTGTACACAGTTATAGTCGTGTTTTTAAGTACTACTGTCAGGTAAAAATAACGTTTTTTCATCTGGTACCAAGAGGGTTGGCACAGCTGCTTGCCAGATAGGATATAAACAAAAATTAGCAAATTGGCACGTATATAGTTCAATGAAAATCTTCTAAGTACATCAACGTTGTAAGTTTGAGGCCGATCAGATGAGGTATTCTCGAACCATACCACAGGCGGGGTTAGAACCCGCGATCAGAGGTCATAAAACTCCAGCCCGTCGCGTTAGCCACTAGACCAGCTAGCCACAATAAGATTCGTCCAACTAGGTATATTTCTACACCACAGGAAGGTTAGCACAGGCACCATCTGTGTCCACAAATCCAAGTTTTTACAGACGAATCTCCAGCTAGCGTGGCCGTGACGAACTCTAGCTCAAGTCCCCTCAAAACTTGGAGTATACCTCGAGAGAGTTTCTGGGGTTAACGCTCCCGCTGCTCGGTCTGTGACCAGGCCTCTATGGTGGACCAGGGCCTGATCAACACAGGCTGTTACTGCTAGCCACACGCAATCCAACGTACGAACCACAGCCCAGTTTATAAATATATCTAGTTGGATTAATCTTATTGTGGCTAGCTGGCCCAGTGGCTAACGCGTCGGTCTGAAGTTTTATGACTGATCGCGGGTTTTAACCCCGCCCGTGGTATGGTTTGTTTGCAATCGTGTCATTACGATTTCGTGAGCCATTCTCAGATTGGCACATGGAAACAGCTGTGCTTTTTTTAATGTATAAAATTAGTATAGTGGCACCAACTTATCTCAGAAACAATCTGAGCGTTCCTCCAAACAAGATATATTAGCACTGGAAGTTTGAAGCCGATCAGAAGAGGCATCGCAGCGAGATAAAGTCAGGAATGTGTAAGGATCTTATATACAGTGAAACGAGCATAAGAGAAAGAAGCTGGATAGAGAGCCTCAGAAGCCTTTATATCACAAGTGGCGCTGCGGACTGTGTTGTACATTTTAACTGGCCATAGCTTAGGCCTCCTTGGCTAAGCTGTTTTTTTACAATTATCGAGGTACCTGTACGGGTAGCCTTTAGCCATTTACATTTTTAATCAGTTGCAAGTTATTTTTATTTACTGTCGCATGTTAGTTTTTGTCTGCGTTGTGTGGTTACCGTGGTAGATGTTACCGTGGTAGATGTTACCGTGGTACATGTTACCGTGGTAGATGTTACCGTGGTAGATGTTACCGTGGTAGATGTTACCGTGGTAGATGTTACCGTGGTAGATGTTACCGTGGTAGATGTTACCGTGGTAGATGTTACCGTGGTAGATGTTACCATGGTAGATGTTACCGTGGTAGATGTTACCGTGGTAGATGTTTATATATCTGTTGCGTAGTTCGTATTTGCTTGTTGTTACCAAAAGGTGAGTGTTGGGTAGAAAGCAAATGGCAGTACCTGTGTCAACAAATATATATTGTCTGTGCAATATTTTATCCTCTACTTTAAAAACATGGCCAAAGCATGCTCAAAATAGAGCATAATAAAAGTTCTAAAAAATTATTTAACTTTAAAAAAGACCATTTCTTTAGTTCATTTAGGGAACTTTGTGTAGAAAATGTAGCCGTGAAGACACACTTAGGGGTCCCAGGGCCATAATGTTGAGTCATCTCGTAAGTGAAAGCTTTCACCAAATTTCACAACTTCCTTCTTTTATTCACAATTAACGTTGATCACAGATTGTGAATGTGGAGAGCGGGGAGATGTTAGGCGAGCATCAGGAAGGTGAGATATGTGTGAAGGGACCCAACGTGATGTTGGGCTACGCTAACGACCCCGTGGCTACAGCCGCTACCATAGACCCTCAGGGCTGGCTACACACAGGTGACATCGGCTACTACAACCAAGATAACTTTATCTTCCTCACAGACAGGATGAAAGACCTTATCAAGGTTAAAGGCTTCCAGGTGAGACCAAATACTGTCATCCAAGACGTTCTGTACAAAATATAATATTTTACCTTTAAACTGATAAGAAAGAAAATGCCAAAACGTTATAAGTAGATATAAATGTTAAAACTATGTATTACTTTATTGTTTGAATTACTTACTTTTTTTATTACGGCAACTCATGCTGATGGAGTATTAAATATCTCAGTTGTCATAGTTACCAACATTATCACATGTGATCATATACAGTTTGTTATTTAGATATCCTGCCCATCGTTGTTCACTGTGAAGTATATCATCCAGCCTCACTTATGTATCGTCCAGCCTCACTTATGTGTCGTCCAGCCTCACTTATGTATCGTCCAGCCTCACTTATGTATCGTTCAGCCTCACTTATGTATCGTCCAGCCTCACTAATGTGTCGTCCAGCCTCGCTTATGTATCGTCCAGCCTCACTTATGTATCGTCCAGCCTCACTTATGTATCGTCCAGCCTCACTTATGTATCGTCCAGCCTCACTTATGTATCATCCAGCTCACTTATGTATCGTCAGCCTCACTTATGTATCGTTCCAGCCTCACTTATGTATCGTCCAGCCTCACTTATGTATCGTCCAGCCTCACTTATGTATCGTCCAGCCTCACTTATGTATCGTCCAGCCTCACTTATGTATCGTCCAGCCTCACTTATGTATCGTTCAGCCTCACTTATGTATCGTCCAGCCTCACTTATGTTTCATCCAGCCTCACTTATGTATCGTCCAGCCTCACTTATGTATCGTCCAGCCTCACTTATGTATCGTCCAGCCTCACTTATGTATCGTCCAGCCTCACTTATGTATCGTCCAGCCTCACTTATGTATCGTCCAGCCTCACTTATGTATTATCCAGCCTCACTTATGTATCATCCAGCCTCACTTATGTATCATCCAGCCCCACTTATGTATCATCCAGCCTCACTTATGTATCATCCAGCCTCACTTATGTATCATCCAGCCCCACTTATGTATCATCCAGCCTCACTTATGTATCATCCAGCCTCACTTAAGTATCATCCAGCCTCACTTATGTATCATCCAGCCTCACTTATGTATCATCCAGCCTCACTTATGTATCATCCAGCCTCACTTATGTATCATCCAGCCTCACTTATGTATCATCCAGCCTCACTTATGTATCATCCAGCCTCACTTATGTATCATCCAGCCTCACTTATGTATCATCCAGCCTCACTTAAGTATCACCCAGCCTCTCTTGTGTATCATCCAGCCTCACTTATGTATCATCCAGCCCCACTTATGTATCATCCAGCCTCACTTATGTATCATCCAGCCTCACTTATGTATCATCCAGCCTCACTTATGTATCATCCAGCCTCACTTATGTATCATCCAGCCTCACTTATGTATCATCCAGCCTCACTTATGTATCATCCAGCCTCACTTATGTATCATCCAGCCTCACTTATGTATCATCCAGCCTCACTTAAGTATCACCCAGCCTCTCTTGTGTATCATCCAGCCTCACTTATGTATCGTTCAGACTCGTATATCATCCAGCCTCACTTAGGTATCATTCAGCCTCACTTGCGTATCATCCAGCCTCACTTAGGTATCATTCAGCCTCACTTGCATATCATCCAGCCTCACTTAAGTATCATCCAGCCTCACTTAAGTATCATCCAGCCTCACTTGCATATCATCCAGCCTCACTTATGTATCATCCAGCCTCACATGTGTATCATCCAACCTCACTTATGTATCATCCAGCCTTACTTATGTATCACTCAGCCTCACCTGTGTATCTCAGTGTTAAATGTATCATATTGCCTCATATTACAAAAAACGCGATTTCTAATAATGATAGAGATCTCCAGGCAATACTAGAAAGGACTGTCCTTCTAGCATCCAGCCTGTTACTGGGTTTTTGTAACAAGTAGTCAGTATCCTGGTCCAATTATCCATTAGAATTCAGTAAGATTTAATAGTGCTTCAGGATTACAACTGGTAGGCTACTTACTAATTATTAATAAACTTATTAAATTTTAATTTCTTAAGATGTCTAGCAGTATATTATCAAATTAAATTAAATTAATCAAAATCAAAATAATAATCACTTCTCTCGTGTACAGTAGTATTGTGCTGAAGGCACATATCACATTTATACGTCTTAAGTACCGTCTGGTACATTAACATTTAATAATACAAATGTATACAAGTAAGTTTGTGTGTATGTGTGTAAGTGCTCTAAGTAGTTCGCTATGTCTCAAGACTCGACTAGACTTAAACCAGTGACTGACAAAGTCCTCACATCAACAAACTTCTTGACCACCTGGCAATCAGAACAGTTTGCTTGAACAATAAAAGACTGATAAGCTGAGCAACAATATAGCAAGCAATAGCGACACAATCAGGAACAAGGAGATAATATAACGACACTAAGTAGGGACCATCTGCAGATCCACAAATGTCATAAAACTCCCATACTACTGAATCTAAGTTCAGCATAAGAAAATCCCCGACTGTGACAGTACACAGATACCAGTACAAGTTAGGTCAGAAGCAACAGCTCAGGACCTGGCTTTCTCAGAGTGTCTATTTTACACACAACCTCAGTACAACGTCAAAAATCACTAAGTCTAGACAATGTTCTGTGAACAGAGTTCTACAGAACCAACAACAAGAAAGCGACAGAGACGATCTTCCGACAAGGGCCCACTTGCCAGGAGAACGTCCAGCCCCGACTCTCACTACTCCAGTCGAGGTGTGAACCCCCCCCCCCCCTTCTCTCTGATCACGTGATAGCTCCGTGGACAGCTGCTGCCCAGCAACACGATAATTACAGTAGTTAGACAATCAAGACTTGAACTATGAGCACTGAATAATATATATAAATGTTACATCCTACCTAACAAAAATAACTAAGTCAAATAATAATATAAAGCAATATATTTACGATTTAGCTATTATCGCAAATATAAGCAATATAAATTATATGAAAAGGTAATATACAATATATACATTGTGACCCATTCAGGGGTCGCAACACCTCACCTGTGTATCTCAGTGTTAAATGTATCACTCAGCATCACCTGTGTATCTCAGTGTTAAATGTATCACTCTGCCTCACCTGTGTATCTCAGTGTTAAATGTATCACTCTGCCTCACCTGTGTATCTCAGTGTATGTTTCGGTGGCCAAAAGAGAATGTCTTTTCAGTTTTCCCTAGGTTGAATGATAGTTTTGTTGTCTACTTAACCAATTGGCTGCAGGAACTCCAGTTCCAGTGTAAAAACATATTAGCAATATCTTGTGAGTCTTATAAACCTGTTACTAACGAGCGCACTGTCATCTGGCATACAGTAGGAGTTTGCACTATGACACTGATAGGCATTTCCATATGACAATAACAAAAGAAAAAATAAGGACCCAGAATACTACCTTAGGGGAACCCAACATGGTTATCGCAGGGTTTCTGATTTCCGTTTTGTTGATTTTTGACTATTTAGTCTCCAATTAGCAAGGTAGACTTAAACCAGTCTACAGAACCTGATATCCGAATAGGCAATAGGTCTCTTGAAGTTTCTTACATAATAAATTGTGGTTGACAAAGTATGCGAAGGCCTGTTTGCATGTCTACAGGGTTACCATATACCCTATGAGGTATTCCCCTTTGACATTTCAGTTCTCAGAGTAATCTCATCAGATTAATAAGGAGTAGTCGGTTGAGTAGGATCTTCTAAAAATCCCAATTGAAATTAGCTATGGAGAATGAAGTTGTCATCAAGGTACTTAAACAATACTTGAGAATACACCCGCCCTCTCCAGAATTTTAAGATATTGTACTGAGTAAACAAACAGGCCCTATAGTAGCATACGTCCCAGACCTATTGTATTGGTTTTTTCTTGAAGATAGAGAAACTCTGGGCCTCCTTGAACCCCTCCAGTACGGTATTATGGTTATTGATAGATTTATTATGTGGAGCAATAGGGATTGCCGAGTTCAAAGGCCCCATCTTTTTAGGAACTTAAGATCGGATGTTATCAGGGCCATGCTCTTAAGGTTGGGATTAAAACCTGCATAGTTCTTGTTGAATGAAGTCCATGAGATACACTGTACTAGTTGACAAACTGTTGGGGGTGTACCCCCTTATTGTATAGTAAGTTTTGAAACTTATCAAGAGTCTGTGTTTAGGTAATTTGATGCAAGATCTAGGTAGTTTACTAACTACTATGTTGATGCAACAGAATGTGTAGAGTAGAATTAAAGCAAAAATTTGCCACCTTAGATGAGTTCGGGCATACCTCATTATCGATAAGTGAGTACTATGTTACAGATCTATCTACTGGATTTATGGCTATACCCCCAACAGTTTTGTAGGTAGTTGCCAGAGCTTTCTGGTGTTTATTGCTAATTCTCTTCAATTTTTGAAGCAATAGTGCTTTTGCCTTTGCTCCTTTTATATAGAAGTCCTCTGCACTCCTGTTCTAACCCTTTTTGGAATTCATTTTAGTGCTGCAATATACTCTGTCTGTTAGCTTTAAATCATTTAGCAGGCTGGTCTCTGAAATTTCCCATATTATCTAATATCTTCAGTAGTCAATCCCAGTGTTCAGTTCTTCATTTAATCCTGGAAACCGAGCTTTAACTGGTGCAATATTACCAAGGATATATGGAAACTAAGTTTTTGAATTTTTACCCAGGCAACATTTACGTCCCGAGCATAACTTGTTAATCTCTGTCGCATCAACAATTTTGTTGTTTTTAAAGGTCCGCTAGTAAGATTAAGTCCCCATTTGCCCCACTATTTTTTTACCAGTGTTTCCATTCTTTACTGTAGTTTCTAGTATGACCTCATTTTATTGTCCTGCGTAGAGGAGCCTATCCTATCACCTAACCCTAGTAATTTCCTCCCCTGGTGCAGTAATTTATGAAATTAGATCACTAAGACCTGTGGTAATGAAGGCCTGACTGACTAATGTCTCAAGCGCGGTTACAAACAAATATGTGGTCAATTAGGGTGCTAGAACTGCGTGATTCCGGTTGGTGTGTATTAAATCGTTGAGTGTAGCTATTTAATCCTAGAATTTGCTTATACCATTTGCATAGCCGTTATTTTGCTGCTGAAAACAGATATGAAGTCGCCCAGTAATATTAATCTCGCAATTGTTTTCAACTCCGGACAAGACTCTTGGACAAGTCTTACTAATAACTGGTCTGGGTAAGAGGCGGTTAACTAGTTCCTACTAAGATGGGTTTTGTCTTGGGAAGCATCACTTTCAAACCAAAGAAATCTCCATTTTTATTGGTTATTTAAAAAAAATCAGGTCTTGTGTTGTAAGCTAAGTCATTTCTAATGTAGGCACATTACACTCCACTCAACCCTTTCTGTATTCCTATCTAAAGCGTTTTTAAAATTATTGGGTAACCTTCTATTATTGGACTATCGTCGTCAGTCACCGTTATCACCACCACCAAAGATTCATTCAGAGATGGTTAGTGTTTAAAGGGCCAACTGCCGCCGCTAGTTTTGGTCAGCTAGAATCCTAATCCTCTGCCAATTAAGGAATAAGTGTTCTTGGCCAATGACCGATTAATAAAGTGGGAAGGCCTGTTTTCATAAAACAATCAAAATCATCAATACTATGGGCAATGGGTCATTAGTATTAAAATAAGGTAAATCATTGTCATCACTGCTATGAAGGGAACAGCTGTGCCACAGAGCATTTGTACAACACAAAATGAATTCTGGCACCGTTAGCCTATAATTGTACATACATCCATTCAAATGCCACCCACACCCTTACAACATTATACATAAGGTGCCTTTTCTGTTTTTTCCATGCGTACAGTGTAAGCACCTGATTGGTAGATGAACCAGCAAGACTGGATCTTGTGTTCACTCCCTGAGAAGCTCAGAACATTGAGGACATCGGCAAATGAAATGCCCCTTGAGAGCTAGTGACCACGTGTTCTGAGCGTTGAATACATTGTGGAGCTACAAGTGGAGAGGGTAAAAGGAGTAGAAGTGGGAAAAAAAAAAAAAATCGAAACTGTGAAATGGGGGCCACAACAGGTATGAGGACGCTCATCCCCTGCCCGGAGGTTCAGTTGGAAAACGAGAGGTTGATAGGAAAGTCATAATGAATATGATTGGACTATGTAAACACAACAAAATACAAGGAGGTAAGAGGAAACGGTTATGTTCCCAAGGGTACAGAAATAATGGAAAGAGCAGAATGACCCTTGGGGTTAATAACCCCGAAAGTGTAGGGAGGCAAAAACAAAGTGTGCTGTAAAATGGAAAAAGTACAGAAGCAAAGGACTCAGGAAAAAACAAAGTGGATGAGATGAAACGAGCCAGAAACGTCGAGTATGCACAGATAAGGAGGGAGGCCATCGGCAGCACGAAAACGACATAAGCATCGAAAGTCAAAGTCTGACCCAAAACTGGCATTACAGCCACATACAGGAGGAAGAGAAGACAACAGTCAAGAACCAAGTAATCAGGCTGATAAAGAAAGAAAAGGAGCTCACAAGAAATACCAAGAAGTATGTGAGGATCCCAACATTGAGAATATCAAGGAAGTAAATTTTACAGTAAGAGGCTGAAGGGGACACTGGATACAAAACAGTGAGGGTTATAACCAACAAGTGTTTGATAAAATACACACAAACTGAGGATGAGGTGAATAAGCATCCTATGTGACGACTTTGATACCTCAAGGCGGTGGGACCCGGACATCCTCCGTGGGTCCATAAGAGAAGGGAGCGAGACACCTGGTGTGTGTTACTAGCCAAACTCTTCAACATAAAATTGCCTTTGAAACTGGACAACTACCTGAAGTAGGAAGATGGCAAACTTAGTTCCCCCCCAACTTTATGAAAGAAGACAGAAATGACGCATTAAACATAGACGCAGTGTCACAGACGTGGTATAGTAAGCAAAGTCATGGATAATATTATCAGGAGAGAGTGGTGGAGCACCGGAGTGGAATAAGATTAATACACGACGAGCCATCACATGGATTCCATGGAGAGGCAAATCCTGTGTCCACAAACCTACTGAGTTTTATAGACAAGATCACTGAAGTAAGAAATAGAGGAGGGGTGGGTTGATTTTGCATTTTCTTGGACTGCAAGAATGCCTTCACAAGAGATTTACATGAAGCTAGAGGAATAGGCAGGCACTATATAAACAGGAAAGGAGCACCTTCAATGATCAGAGATTACCTAATAAGGGAGGGGTCAATAGCGAGTCATGGTCCCGGTGATATAAGGTATCGCATAGGGCGCCTGTGACGAGCGGGGTCCCACAATGGTCATCCTTGACCACAGTGCTATTCTTGGTTATATGTGAATGACATGACGAAAGATACAAGACTCAGAAGTGTTCCTGTTTGCCAGATGATGTGAAGTTAATGAGGAGAATTAAATCAGATGCGGACACAGACAGGTCTACAAAGAGAGCCTGGACAGGCTGAATGCATGGTCCAAGCAACTAGCTCCTATAATTAAACTCTGCCAAATGATAGAGTCATGAAGATCGGAGAAGGCAAAGAATACCGCAGACAGATATAGGGCTAGGAGGCCAAAAAATGCAAAAAACCACACACAAAGGAGAAAGATCTAGGAGTGAGTAAAAGAACGAGTACCCTATCGCCAGAAGCACACATCAACCATGGGGCAACAGGCGCTGCGGCATATGGGCGCTTGTCAAACCTGAGAACAGCGTTCCGGTACCTGTTTTTGAGGGGTAGGGGCTTACTCAGAGTAGCAATCGTTTCAAGACTTTATACACAGTGTACGTCAGCCAAATACTGGAATAGTGCAGCACCAGTTGGAACTCACCAGGAGACAACCTATTCAAACACATCACGAAATTAGAGAAAGTGCATAAGTTTTGCAACAAAGACTGGTTCCAGAGCTAAGGGGAAGTCCTAGAGAAGAAAGGTTAAGGGAAATCGGTACTGAACGACACTGGATGGACAGGTGGTCAAGGAGAGACATGATAACAGCATTCAAAATACTGGGCGTGAATATGACAAGATGACAGGAAACAGAGATGTTCCCGAAATGGGACCACAGAAACATGGGGCCAACAATTTGGAAAGCTGGCAGACTCAGATAAGTCCAAATGTATTGTTAGGAAAGTATTTCTTAGGCACACAAGTTGTTAGGAAGTGGAATAATCTGGCAAGCGATGTAGTGGAGGCAGGAACCACACATATTTTTAAACGAGGTATGATAAAGCTCAAGGAGCAGGGAGAGGGAGAGACCCAGTAGCGATCAGTGAATGAGGCAAGGGCCAGAGCTGATATTGACACCCCCCCCTGCAAGCCACAATTAGTGAGACAACACACGATCGTAAACATACAAAACTCACAGCACACGCACACATGAATCACTATCATGTATGAAGTATCACAAATACACACATAAAGTCAATGCACACAAGCACACTACATACTCATACACACACACACACACACACACAAACAACACACACACAACGACACACAGCTCACAAACACCACACACACACACACACACGGACACGGGCCTTGATACCATTAACCACTATGTGACACACACGTAGGGACACAAACCCGCTGCGTGAAGTCACGCCTTCCTGTGTGCTCCACGAAATAAGTTGTTTTTGAGGGCTTACCCAAGTGTACTGCAAGTGTTGCTAA